TAAGCATGAAACAGACTGTCGCCACTGTGAGTTGATTTCAATTTCGACATTTCTATTTACATATATATGTATATATATTACACATACATACATACATACACACATACACATATACGCACACAGGCAAACACACACATATACATACATACATACATATATATAAAATCATTTCATCTTAATCAAAGCAATAAAGCCACTAAGATGCAAAGGGTTATTGAGTGTGAAAGAATATGAGAAAAAGAAAAACATTATTAATAAAAGTGAACAATATTAGAACATGAAATAAGACACCCTAACTAAAAGTAAATATTTGTCCCAAATCAGATTAATTAAACTTTAATACCAATTTATCTTCTTCAAATAATATATTTTATTTTGGAAAAATGTTTTAATAATAAGAATTACGTTGTGCTGACAAACTTATCAATATGGACAATTTAAACTCATTTAAATTGAGCTTGAAATCCAACACAGTGTTTTGGTTATTGGAAATATTAATTTTAATATATCTGGTGGAAATTAAAACTAAAATAAAAACTTCAGGAAAGATTTTTCACTTTTAAAATTCATTTTAAACTTTAGGTATTGCTTTTATTTCGATATATATATATATATATATATATATATATATATATATATATATATATATATATATATATATGAAAAAAATGACAATAGGAAAACTGGTAATTGCTGACGCGTTTCGTCCAATGTGGACTTTATCAAAGCAAAATACGAAAATGAAATTAAATGAACAAAGTAACTAATAAAAAACAAAAACAGAATGTACCTATTGGACGAAACGCGTCAGCAATTACCAGTTTTCCTATTGTCATTTTTATTCATAAATATTGTCTTTCTACCGATTAAATCGGAGAATTTTCATATATATATATATATATATATATATATATATAGAGAGAGAGAGAGAGAGAGAGAGAGAGAGTGAAAGAGGGAGATATGATTTACTTTAAAACAGGTCATAATAGCTGCTTTTCCGACAAGAAACAATCATTTGTAAGATATTGTAAGCGTTGTATGCAGAGTAATTGATAACTATAATGCTATATAAAAATAGTTAAATAAATAGATAGATTGACACACACACACATATATATAAGAACAGAATGAGATAGATATATAAGAACAAATTGAGACAAATAGATAGGTAAAGAATTGATAGTTACACACACACACACACATATATATATATATATATATATATATATAATGATTTTCCAAGTGTAGCTTAGATGTGGCACAAGGCCGAAAGTATGGGGCACCCAGTGAAGATCGAACTCACTCTCCAGTCGTAACTGTTTTAGCCAGACAAGCTTGCAAACCATTACACAACGTCTATGTGCCCCAATGTATATAAATATATATTCAGAGAAACAGATAGATAAGAACAGACTGAGATAGGTGACACGTCATGTGCAAATTATAAAATAGAGAAAAAAGAAAAATATTCATTAAAAAAAATCAGTATACTTTCAAATATAATTGTACCAATGTTCAACTTAGAAACAATTGATTCAATAAAATTACTCTCTGTCCGCTGCCATCGTCGATGCAGCTTGGGAAACAATTAGATGTCCAAATCATGTCGGACATCTTGTCCTTGAAGTAGTCCGTCATATTGACAAACCGATGGTGATCTTTCTTTCCAACAATGCCCCAGGCATAGTTGTCCAACCTCTTCATATCTGTCCTGCTAGGAAGGTACGTGTTGGAAGTGATATGAAGATGAAAATTCTCAACTAGCCACTCTTGAATTACGAGAACCACGTGCGAGAGGGAAGAATATTACAGGAATATGTATGCCCACTCTCCTTGGTCAACGCTTGATCCCCGATGTAGGCGGTGTCTTTGCGTCTGAGGCAACGCGAAAATAAGAAGGGCAACATGACATGTCCTTCGTTGTTCGCGATCTCCAGAACATGTCACCAAAGACTTGAAATTGGTATGCCATTACAGCATTGTGTCTTCTCGTAGGGTCACTTGTTAACCCCTGTTATCAACTTTCAACCCACTGACTATCGCTCTGTTTGTCGATCTATGCCACGAGAACGGCATACCTTTTCATTTAAAATGTCGGATTCGAAACTGTTAATTCTGTCGATAATATCTGAACGAGAAATGAGAATAAAGATTTTTTGACAGTCTCCTTCTTTTATATGCCGTGTCCCTTAAGGACGTAGGTGATCATGGCTCTCCATTTCCTCCTATCCCTTGTAGTTCTCAATATGTTTTGCCCTTTTTCTACTTCTCCCAGACCCTGTTGTGTCACACACTTGCCTAAGCCCGACTCCTTTCCTTTGTCTCTCTTTCCTTCTATCCGCCCTGTGAGTATCAGATTCTCCAATCCCTCCTTTCTCATTACGTGTCGCAGAAATTTCAGTTACCTCTACCTGATGTTAAGTATAAACTTCCTCCTTGTTTGCGTCCTCTCCAAAACCTCATCGTTTCTCAAACGCTTGGTCCATGATATCCTCAGCATCCTTCTGTAGAACCATACCTCTGTTGCCTCAAGTCTCTTCTTCATCTTTCAGGAGACCGTCCAACATATGCTGCCGTAAAGGAGGGCGGATATCACGTAGCAGTTCAATACTCTTTTCTTTGTTACTAACGAAATCCTCTTCTCTTGTAATATTCTGCTCAGCTTTTGGAATGCGTTTTTGACCATTCCAATATGTCTTCAGATCTCAGCGTCGCACTTACCGTCCTCTGTCAGAACATTTCACAGATTTTTAAATTTCCGCACCTGCTTGATTTTAGTGCCCACGATTTGTAAATCGGATTTTTTTTTTGTTACTGATGATCATGCATTCTGTTCTCACTCTCCGTAGGAGGTTTTGTAATTTCCTTTCTGTGTCAGCTATCAGCAGAATTTCATTGTGGTGTGGTAAACAGACATATTCAAAATATGATGATGCAACGTAAGCACATAGCAAGAATTTTTTGTGGGGTGGGGTGGGGGAGTTAACCGGATTCGTCCTTTTCTCATGAAAACTCGATCGATAATCATTTATTATTTTGCTATTCTCGATCGAGTTTTAATAAGTGAAGAGCAAAATAATACTGTTTCTATCTATCTATCTATCTATCTCATTCTGTTCATATCTATCTATCTATCTATCTGTCTGTCTGTCTGTCTGTCTATTTATCTATCTACCTAAACACATATATATCTGCTTAAGAGTGTTCATATCTATCTATCTATCTATCTATCTATCTATCTATCTATCTATCTATCTATCTATCTCTGCTTGTATAAAGGATGATATAGAACCATTAGTGAGTTTTGTGAGACTTGTTTACATTAGAACTGACCCACTGACTCTTTTCTCTGTCAACCGAAGCATAGATAGAGATATAAACAGACTAAAATCTAACATGAGATAGTGCGCTATAGAGAGACATTTAAATAAATATCAATTCACTTAGCTCGATACATAGATTTCACTGAAAAACTGAAATAGAAAAATAGATGAAATCATCGGAATAGATATGCAGAAAGATGGACAGACAGACAACTAACGATCTAATTAGAGAGAGAGAGAGAAAGAGAGAGAGAGAAAGAGAGAGAGAGAGATAAAATCTATATTATCTACCGTCCGAAACACAAGTACAAAACTATAAAGATTTTGTTGTTGGTGTTGCATAATTTAATGGCGGCGGACATATTTAAAATAGGATACATCTTAAATATTGAATATTGACATATTCAAATATGATAAGAAAATGTAAGCACATTGCAAGAAATCTTTTCTTTTTCTTTTCTTTTTCATTTTTTTTTTTTTTTTTGTGTTAACCGGTTTCATTCTTCTTTTATGAAAACTCAATCGATGATCTTTCATCGTTTTCTTATTCTCGATGGAGATTTAATAAGGAAGGAACGAGACCGGTTAATTCCCCCTAAATTATTTTATATACTTAATATTCCATTTTCTTTATACTAATATTTTTGCTAATGTTCACCCAATATAAGGCCCAGGGAACACTCTGTTATTCATCATGACGGTCGTCTTCGAATATAGAATCCAGAGGTTAGCAGTGAATATTTCGAAGACAGTAGGAAAGCGTTGTTCAGGTTAGCAGCGGATATTTTGGTAAAAGTAGCAGAGCATAGTTCGTCCTTCTGTTTCTCTTCGCCTGACAAGCTGGAACTAGACATTCGGGTAGGGTAAACAAAATGGCCGCCTTTATACACGACTGATTGAATGTTCTATGTCTTCTGATTGGTTAACTTTCTATTGGTAGACTATAAAGTGAGTTAAGTCATCTGAGCTAACTCACTATTACATAACATACACAAAAACAGTAACACACTCAAGGTAGAGGTTTACTGTGAGGAATGTATTAGCATACGATACGGCAAGATATCAGGAAAGGTAGACAGCCAATTCTAGATTTGAAGAGGTCAAGATTTAATTAACGAATAAAAATTCAGAGTTCAGCCAGAGACGTTAGAAATATAAAATTCAAGTAGATTTTAGTAGGGACCGGAATCAGAGTAGTAAACAGGAAACAAGGGATAAACCTCTAATCTTGTTCAAAATGAGAATGTTTAAAATTTGGAGCCAACTGCATAACATTGCATCAGGTTGTTTTTCCATATATACCCTACTGTTGTGGCCTTGTTTAGGGCCAGAAATAAAGACACAAAGAGAGGAATTGAGTTAAACAAATACATGAACAGAAACAGTAATACAAACAGATACAAACGAGAGTGTTACAGCAAGAATGTTCAGTCCGACGGTCAGGGCTGACTGCTGGAAACTTTCCTCTCTCCAAAAAAGCAATATCTGCTCCTATTTATAGTTGGGAGAGTCCATGCCATAACACCTACTGAATGCGGTTTTTCAAGTATCTAACCTACGTCGATTGTTATACTAGCACTAAGTCACAAGTCATCATGACCGAGGCTTTGATTAACTGATTCTGTCTTCAATATAAGAAAACGACGACTTTCTTCTTTTTGGATTCTTAAAATATTCTTATCTCCTTTCGATTTTCTCTTTGTATAAAATCCATTTTCGATTGCCAGGGACGAAAGACAGAGAAGGGAAGATAACGGAGAAGCGGAGAGACGGAGAGGGGAGAGAGAGACGGAGAAGGGGGGAGAGAGACAGAAAAGGGGAGAGACGGAGAAGGGAGAGAGAGGCGGAGAAGGGGAGAGACGGAGAGGGGAGAGAGAGACGGAGAAGGGGAGAGACAGAGAGGGGAGAGAGTGACGGAGAAGGGGAGAGAAGTGGAGAGACAGAGAGGGGAGAGAGGCGGAGAAGGGGAGAGAGACGGAGAAGGGGAGAGAGAGACAGAGAAGGGGAGAGACGGAGAGGGGAGAGAGACGGAGAAGGGGAGAGAGAGACAGAGAAGGGGAGAGACGGAGAGGGGAGAGAGAGACGAAGAAGGGGAGAGACAGAGAGGGGAGAGAGAGACAGAGTGCAAGACGAGTGATCTCGAGCTATGGACAGCAGACTGAGACCAATCTACCCGTTTAAAGTTACTCGGTTCAACAAAAACTTGAAGAAAGTCGGCGTGCACAACGGTAGGAACGTTGTCATAACGACAACAGAGATAAGGATTTTAGTCCAAATGTAAATAATCTCATGACTATTTTGTGCAAAAATTACATTTTTCTCTGTCGAGCGGTAAGTGTAGCATTAACATTTTTTCTCAAGTTATGTTGAATTTGTTTTCCGAGTTCTTGAATTTTTCCAAAACACAACAATGAACTGAGTGAACAAACATTCGTAGGCACCCATCGGACAGCATCCTAGTTGTCTGCTTGGCTGGGTCATTGACGTCTGTGACTGTAGAGGCCGATGCGAGAGTGACAATCTCTGTTGCAGAGGTCGCATGTATGTTCTGTCTCTGGTCTGTTGGAGCTGTCACTTTGCTTTCTGCGGGCAAGCCTCACGACATCGCGGTACCGCAGCTGTGGCCGCCCTGTGGGTCCCATGCGAGAGGCCAGCTCTCCATACAGTAGGCCTTTGAGGATGCGGCCGTCTGGCATGCGGTGAACGTGGCCTAACCAACGAAATTTGCGCTTTCTGAGCAGTGTGAACATGCTGGGCAGAACAAACACTGAAGAATTAAAAGATGACGTTGACAGCTTTTACACAAATATATCTCTACTATTTACATTGTTCGGACTATCATCCTCATCTTTGTTGCCATAATTATCACAACGTTTCGGCCGTTGTACGCTGGGGCCTTCTTCAGTCTTCTGATAGTCCGAGCAATGTAAATAGTGTACATAATACCTCATGTCAGAATTATAGACAAATATATCTCTATTGCATATCTGAGAATTGCTGATGAAAATCAGGTTAACTTGAAAACTTACACTCCGAATTAATATTTTCTTTTTATGTAGAAAAATATTTCATAACGAGTGTCTCAGACCAGGCACTTGGAAAAGATCCTTCAATTCTGACGACAGCGGAAACCTTCACAATAAATATAGTTTCTCTTATCTCGTCGGTCATTGTTTTAAGTTGTCATAGCAACTGATCAATTTTGAATATCGATTGGTGAATATTTCAAATATTGTTTCGTCTCGATCAAAGAAATAATTGAAACGCTCTGTAGCGGAGACATAAGCGATTGATCGATTTTAACTCGTACTGATATTCACCCAATTATAAACTTGGGCAAAAAGTTTTTTTTTTTCTTTGTTATTGTTATTGTCAGGTTAACTTAGGCCGGGAAGATAATTTTCATGCATTATTAATGCAATCAAAGAATCTGTCGTCAATTCTCTCCTTTGTTTTCGACTTCCGCATCGGATATATATATATATATATATATATATATATATATATATATATATATATATATATATATATATATATGTGTGTGTGTGCGGTGAGGGGCGTGGACGCGTGTATATAGAGTTTTACATTAACAGAAAATATTGTGATAATTACAACTAAATGCTATTTTACGCCCCCTCTATCTCTTTATCGCTCACCCTTTCTCTTTACCGCTCTCTCTATCTCTTTCTCTCTTTATCGCTCTTGCTCTCTCTCTCTCTCTTTATCTCACACACTTTATCTCTCTCTCTTTATTGCTCACGCTCTCTCTCTCTATCTCACTCTCTTTATCTCTCTTTTTATCACACTCTCTCTCTTTGTCTCTATCACTCTCTTTATCGCTCTCTCTCTCTCTCTCATTATCTCATTCTCTTTATCTCTCTCTTTATCGCTCTCTATTCCTATCTATTTATCTCGCTCTCTTTCTCTTCCTCTGTGTGTCGGCTTAAACAAACACACACAAACGAACAAACAGACGCATACACGCGCACACACGCGCACACACTTTGTGCGTGTGTGTGCATGGTTATGTGTGTGCGTGTATGTGTGTGTTTGTGTGTGTGAGTGAATGAGAGAGAAGGCAAATGATAAGAGTAAACCTATCGCACTAAATGAGAGCAGATAGGCTTCTTTCCCTCTGTCTAACGGAGTAACCCTCGCACCCCTCTTTCTTTCTCTCTCTCAACCTGCACACACACACACACACACACACACACACACACACCTTCCATATGTGTGACAGTTTATCCGTAAAGCATCTTATTCAAGCACGCAAACATACAAACAAAAATGCAACACGCACATGTAAAGATACAAACAAAAATACACAGACAAGCATGCGTAGACATACACACCACACATTGACTGATCCACCCTCCTCCCCATCTACGTGTGCATACGCAAAGGCAGATCAATAAATCCGACACCTGATAAGTTAATTAGCCAGAATTTAATTTGAAATTTCACTCTATAAAGTTCGATCGATATGATCAAAATTCACTACAAAATTAAGCGCATTGACAAAGAACAAAAATACAGCTTTTATATATATATATATATATATATATATATATATATATATATATATAGTAAATTTGAAAACCTGTTGGTATATAATCCAAGGTGATACTAGTAATATAAAATATTAAAACTTATCCACAAAAAGAGCTCAATGTATTTATTATAACAGAGCCAATAAGCAGTATTACACAACAAAATACCAAATTACTAGTTTTGGATTTTATTGTATAATACTATATATATATATATATATATATATATATATATATATATATAGTATTTTTATAATGTCGTGCATGGTTGCCCATGTTTATAAAAATTGACACGGTTATACACACTACCTTTTTTGGAGTGATACCGATTAAAATATACAATGTCTCAGTTTTATTGCATTTTCAATTTACGATAAAGAGCATATTTTAGGTAACTGTAGGTCCTGTTTTAGAAAAAAGAAATTAATGATTTAAATACTCCAATGACTTGTGCTTATAACTTTATATAAATATTAAGCGTCACGAAAAAAAAAAGAATTTATCGAAATTTTATGAAATAAATAAGAGTGGGTCGTAACAGATTTAAAGAATGTTACCGAGATTTTCTAAAATAAAATAATTTCCTTCGTTTGTGAATAAGTCCTGAAAGTTTCATTAAAATCCGACCATTATTTGATAGTTGTAAGTATTTCCAAATCAATTCACCGCAAAAAGACGCTCAAATTTTCTATATTAATTTATGGCCACCCGCTGACGACAAAGAAAAAAAAATTACCAAAATTTTGAAGCTTTTAAAACGGATAAAAAAAAAGTAAGTTAATAATCAGAAGACTCTGTGGCTTTTCCACTTAATAACGACAAAGGATTTTGACGCTAAAACTTTGCTTTTATTAAGTTTGGGTCATATTAACATCACGTAAGCACATTTTGAGCGAATCTTAAGCGGGACCTATATATATATATATATATATATATATATATATATATATATATATACAGACAGAGAGAGAGAGAGACAGACAGACAGACAGAGTAAGCTCGGTTGTCGAACATTTCACATATCGAACAATTCGATTTTCTAACAGAAAATTCGAGATGAAAATGCCTCGGTTGTCAAACAAAATTTTGGATCTTGAACAACATTGCTGAACGGAATCATTTCTGAGTCGACCGCCATGTTGTATACATTGGTGTGTTTTGCCGTGCTTTTCTTTTCCAATTTTATTGTACTGTGACTCTTTTTCTCTACAGTGATTCTTATTGGAAAAATAGTTTCGGTTTACAAACATTTCGGGTTACGAACGGCCTTCAGGAACGAATTAAATTCGTGAACAAAGTTCCTATATATATATATATATATATATATATATATATATATATATATATATATATATATATATATATATATATATATATATATAGGTTTTGATTTGTCAGGAAGGAGACTTCCTGATGCTATCGGTCTGGAGGGGGCAATCCTAGCGTGCGGCACTTTTGGAAAATGCCTGAAAAACCATGCCACGGGTTGACCCAAGCTTTGCGAGTGAAAATTGGGTAGACGGAACTTTTGCTGGCCGTCGAAAGTTGTGCTAGCACGAAGACACAAGTCATCGTGGCCGAGGGGTTAAGTATGCTGGCCTTGTTCAGATTGTTGATCACGCTAGATAACACATCCTCTCCCAGAAACTGTAACTAAGGTCTGCTCAGCATAGTTGCAGTATAAAACACAGGTCGGCTCTGTGGGTGTTGTACATACACATATATGCCTGAGCGAGCGTCTGCAATAGGTATTGGCTAGTAAACGGCTAACCGTTCTAGTAGACGAATGCGAGTGGTCAGCTAAAAACTATTATGGTGTGCCGCAGATGAGTCAGGTTCATTAGAAAAACAAGTCAACAGTTATCAAAATTGTCTCATATATAATTCACTATGTTTTACGATATAAGATTATCATCCTACCCATATATATTCGGGCACCTCGCCGTGGTGTAATGGGTAGCAATCTTGTATCGCTAAAACAGTTACGACTGAGTAGTAAGCTTGATCCTCACTGCTTGCCCCATACTTTCTGCTTTAGAAAATCATAAAATTTGGGCCCTTCGACATGGTGTAATTGTTTGCAAGCTTGCTTCGCTTGATCTATCACGACTGAACAGTGAGTTCGATCCTCACACTTTCGGCCGTGTGCCACATCTAAGTTACGCTTAGAAAATTATTTAGGCACCTCGAGGCGGTGTAATGGTTAGCAAGTTTGTCTCGAGTGAGTATTACGACTGAGTATTGAGTTAGATCCTCACTGGGTACCCCATACTTTCGGCCTTGTGTCATATCTAAGATACGCTTAGAAAATCACTATCACGTAAAAATTCTGTTTGATACTTGGATAAAACAACAACAAAAAAAAACTTTTCAAAGTTTACCACTTTCTAAGCGTAGAGGGAGCTACCTTTTAGCCCGGTACGCCTTAGCGACCTAACTAGACGGTAGCTCATTCTGTCCTGCGGGACACAAGTTCGATTCCAGCCAGAGAGCGCAATTTTTCGAATATTCAGGCCGGTAGACGAAAATAGATAAATATGTTATTTAATAAATAAACTGGGCGTTTACTCAAATACAGTATCCACTAAAACTGC